GTATATATTATTAATTAATTATTTATTATATATATATATATATATATATATATATATATAAGTATAATTTATTTTTAAAACAAAAATGTAAAATTGTCTGCTTAAAAATCTCGTTCGATTTAAAATTCTAAAAGAATGATAAAAACTTTTAAATTATTAATGATATCATTCCACATTGAAGATCAGTAGTTTTGTTTTGTTCACATATTATTGTATTTCTAAAAAACAATATCAAGATATATTCGCAAAGTAACAAATACAAAAAATATAAAAGGATATTTTATTATAGCAATTTTTAAGAAAAGTTTGTTACTCTCAAAGTGAGACTTTGTTGTGATCTAAGGCTACTCGATTTCACTCCTTCCTAGTCTTCATAACGAGGTTCTCATAGCAACGAGTCACTGATTAAAACGTGCCGATAGAGCACTTCGGTGTGTTCTAAGGCTTCCTACATCGGCATCGAAAACGAATACCACTCCCCCAGATAGGAATGGCCTTCGGCGAGATCAGATTTCCGTGCCCGGACTTTCGGCGTTTCACTTTTCACACGTTCGCGCTTTTTAAACTCCGTTCTAATCATATCTCCTTTTTTTTTCTCCCAATCCATCTAGTGTAAGATCACAACATTCGCGAATGCTGAGTAACGCGATCGCTTTGAAAAAAAAAAAAAAAATTCGGACAGAAGAAAGATTACGTCAGATTTTAACGCAAATTCATGAATCCATCTGCATATTTTGCATATGCAAAGCGCTGACGGATTTACCGCCTTCCGATATCCTGACTCAGTGGATTCGAGCTATTCGGTTCTTGACGCTCGTAATTTTATAATTTTCTACGAAAGATAAAGGTGAAATTATATCGTCTTTTTTTTTTTTATTTAATTTCAATATAGATTTTTATAGAATATTTGTAAAAAGTTGCATTAAAACTATTTTTAAAACCGTTAAAGTCTCGCTTGCAGGACTAGAATTCGATGAATCGGGATTTTGCTTCTTTTTTTGACACTTCGAACGTTAGTTCAGAAATGATATTTTCTAAATAAGATTTCAACCAAGGAAAAATCCGAATCACCGGGAATCCGAAGCCCGATGAAATTCCGAGACATTTTGCGATCGATCGGCTGCGAAGGGGGTGTGTCGAACCCCTGCTCGCCACCGCGCCCCGCTTTTACGCGTTCTCTCGAGATTACGTAAGCTGAAACGAGCCGAAACGACACGGCGGTGTCGACTTGCAATTTCGCAATCACCAGATATATTACACCCTGTGACTGGATGGTTGTCGATGCCCGGTCTCATGATTGCTATCATGATTTAAGAAAGAGAAACATTAACACTAATGTGTATGTGTCATTATCATTCATTGTTTAGCATCTAAAAATTAACATTCCATTTTCAGAAATTTAATATAACTGATAAAGTTAAAGTTAAAAGAAAAGATAAAACTCTTTCTCAAACAGAAGTCTACAATTTAAAGAAAGAAAGTTTCGTGATTTACTCGAGATTGTGGAAACGAATGTGAAAAAAATCTGGCATTTCGTCGGTATTCGAACGGAAATTTTCCAAGTTTAATACGAGTGACAGATGTTTTACAAATATAAAACGATTTCTTTGGAATTTCAGGTATCTTCTACCTGGAAAAGTTCATCGCTATTATTTTCAATTTGCTAATTCGAAACGCGATAAGATTAGGATGGAAAAATTCCGATAAGAATTCCTGTTCATCCTGTTTCATGAGAAGTCACCAAATATCTAGTATTTTCTTAAGTATTCTGTTCGGCGCAACAAGAATTTCTAAAAATGTTAAAATAAATATTGATCCTTATATTGAAAAAAAAATTGTGATGCATGTTTAACCAATGTTTTATTAGCACTCCGTATATTTTCAAGTTATTTTCAGTATTTTTTGCTATGTTCTTAATTTGTCTTTAATCTTGTTACTACGTTCTTAATTTAGAAATTTTTCTTGAAATGTAATCAAGACATTTCGGGGAAGAATCAGAACTCATAAGTATATTTTGGTAATGTCTATTAATATCAAAATTCTGTGAAACTAGGTAACGTTATAAAAATATTTAATGCTACATCCGATCGGTCATTCTATATCGAACTTCGTCCATAAAAAGATTGGATTCATTTAAGAATAAAATAATCATATTTAATCGTTAATAATACGAAATTAAAATAATTCTACTAATAATAGAAGCATGTCATATATGTCATATATGTCAATTATTCTGCATCTTGTAATCCTTTATGAAATATCTTAGAATGTTGCTACTAAGCGCACACAAAAATACGTTAATATTAAATGAAGTACCGTAAACTAACTGAAACTGAATTCCTCATCACAGCCTACCAGATTTCCTCATATTTATTTACATTTAATAGAATATGAAATACTTAGAAATAAAAATCTTTTGAGTCTCCATGAATGAGACATGGTAATTCATTTAGCTTGAAATTAAGAAAAATTTCGTCAACGAATAATATTTCAATTGCTCCAAATTTAATTTACATTGTATTTATTACATAAAATATTGTAACCTTTTTTCAACAGGTTATAGATTTTTAGTCTTTCATGTAATAACATTTTATTATTAATAATGTAACATTAATTAAGTTCGTTTTGTCATTCACGTCTCTTTTTATTCGTGCATAGTGTGCGGCACTGAGAAAAGTCCCTGGCTCTGTCTGCATTGCGGAGCCGTGCACTGCGGGCGATACGTGGCGGGCCACGCATTGCAGCACTACGAGACTAATACTCAACACTGCGTGTGCATAGACTGTGAAAGCCTGGCAGTATTCTGGTAAGTTTCCTCAGCATCCCTCCGCGTTCAACATCTCCGCACGTTACCATTTGCGCGTGTCTCTCCCTCGTCGAAGCGAATATAATTTCGCAGAGAATTCTCGACGCGAGACAAGTAAAGACTCGCATTATGTAATTCTCGCGTTTTTATAAAATATTCATTTATAAATATTAATTTTTATAAATATTCGTTTATACAAAAAGCGATATTTTTATCATTATTTGTCCAAAGAGCAGAATTTTATTGCCGTAATGTCATAAACTCATAAATGTCGACTCCGAAAAGATTACCTTGCGTCTCACTTTTTTTCAGCTACACTTGCGACGAATACGTGGTGAACGACACCACAACTGGTCAGATCGAGAAGATACGGCGTGTCACCTTTCGTAAGGACGAGCACAAGGAGAACGATGAGAGCTGGAGCACATCACCACCCACGACGCCGCCGTCCTCGAGGACGCGCGACGGCGGTGGCGACGACCACGATCACGACAACGACGATCCGGACGCCCTGTGGAAGGCAGAAGTGGTTGTGAGGAATTTACGTCCGAGAACGGCGCGCAAGAGGCTACACTCGCTGGACGCCAGCAGCGCGGATAATCGGCCGGCCAAGCGTCGCAGCTCCAAGAGTACCAAAGAGAAAAAGGTCGTCGGTCTGAGAAATCTCGGTAACACCTGTTTCATGAATGTGGTGCTGCAATCCTTCAACAACATAAGCCACTTTTGCGAATACCTCACGCAAATGCCATGTCTCGAGGGCATCGCCTTCGACGAATCCACGGGACCGCCCACGCATCGTGGTCGTATCGTCACGCCGGGTCGCGCGAAGGAGATGTCCATGAGCGACGCGTTGCTCGCCGAAGAACTCCGAAAGGTGTTGCTCGGTCTGAGCTTGGGCGGCTCCAATGGCCAGGCGATATCGCCCGAGTGCCTGTTTCTAGCCATCTGGAAGGTCGTGCCGAGATTTCGGGGCTACCAGCAACAGGACGCCCACGAGTTTCTCACCTACATGCTCGACCGACTGCACACCGAGCTACTGCAGTTGTTACCCAGGCTGGGACACGAGCCACTAGGATTACGCGGCAAGCAGAGTATCGTTACTGCCGTGTTCGGAGGCACTCTTCTTAGTGTGGTAAGTTGAACGGCCCGATCTCCGGACAGCGAGCCTCGATTGCGCGCGAAACGAACGTCCTCGCAGCCTCTTTGGCAGGAGGGAATTTCTGCGCTCTCGAGAGACTGGTGTCGCTTGCCAAAGTCATGTTCTTCTTCGTTTTCTTCTTGGGAGAAGCGCGGACGAATTATGGATCGCGTTTCCTCGCGCAGGTCCACTGTATGAACTGTCGTACGGACTCGAAGACGCACGAGCCCTTCCAGGACCTCTCGCTGGACATACCGGACAGACTGCAGAGAAGCAGGACGAAGGAACAGGAGGAGGTGTGCAGTTTGACTTATAGTCTGACGAGATTCTTCAAGGTTGAAGAGCTGGCCGACAGCGAGCTTTACTTCTGCGACAACTGCATGGGCAAGCAGAGGTCTACCAAGAGGTTCTGGATACACAGGCTGCCTAACGTGAGTACCACGTGTTTGTCTTTCGATAATGCGATAAACTATTATTATTCGTTCAATAAAAACAGAATAAAAAAATCTCGCTTTGAGATTTTATTTTGAAAAATAAAATTAAAATATTTTAATCCAAAGAAATTCTAAATTTTCTAACTTTCTTGAAAAGAGTTAGACGTTCTAGTTTTTAAAATCTTTTTATATATTTATTTTCTCTAAACGTACATTGATTTTTTACTCTAATTTCTGTTCCTAAACGTTAGTTTATTCACGAACGTGCGTGTCTCAAGCAATATAGTTCGCACGAGCGTGACCCGAAAAGGGAATTTTAATTGAGCCAAGAGATAAGTCTGACATAGGAATGCGGTGATCAGTGTTCACATATTTCTTGTTCTTTCCACAGGTGTTGTGCCTTCACATTAAAAGATTTAGGTGGTGCAATTCCTATCGCTCGAAGGTGGACACGCAGGTGGATTTCCCGATGGAGTCTCTCGACATGTCCGCGTTCACCGTGCGCGGCGTGACCGGGACGAGATTGGGCGCTCAGAATAGTCATCTTTACGACTTGGCTGCCGTTATCGTGCACCATGGTTCCGGGTACGTTCTCTCAAACAACGCTTCTAATTAAACCGGTTGCTCGACGATGAAAATATGATGAAACTCTCCCCGTAATAATAGCAACTATCGCGAAATCTCGATATATGTGATAAGATAACGTAGTATTGTTTTCTATATCTTGAATAACGCTCTTAGTGTTTTTTGTTCGTAAATGTACTACGTGATTATTATATTCTGCGATAGTGGCAATCATGTTCTTCATTTTAAAAACTATTAAAAAATTTTCTGTAATACGTAGATTTATATATTGCGTCATTTCACTAATCTTTGCATCGTAATCAGTATTTAAATATTTCAATTTTTAGATACATATGCTTGAAATCTTGGTTTGATAAAAGCACGCATTTATATTTAACACGCAATTATATTCATATCGTAAAATTATTGCAGTGCCGGTACTGGACATTACACTGCCTTCGCCGTACATGACGGCCAGTGGTTCCATTTTAACGACAGCAGCGTGCGGCCAGCGACTACTGACGCTGTCGCTAAATGTAAGCCTTACATTCTGTTCTACGTGCGGAGAGAGTTCTCCATTCCACCCCCCTTGTGACGCCGTTTCCCCGATAAGAAGCCTCGTCCCGGCGGCACGACCCTAGATGACGACGAAGACGACGATGATCAGGATGATGTGGAGCGAACGAAAGAGAACTGAGCGAACGTTCCTTGCGAATCTCGAAGCGAGCAAACGAACGGCCAAGCGGAAAAAATGAGAAATAAATCATTGGATCGCGCCTCGAGCGCTTCGAGATCGGAAGACGAAGATTCGTCCGCTTATCGCATATATTATTATTCATGATTGCTCATTGTTGCCAAATCGTACAATCTCGTTAGACGTAATTCGTCGCGCGTTCGCTGTCGCACCTCGACAAGTCACCACGACAATCTTCGAGGCGCGATTGGGATAACCGGCCACATAATTCCGCCGTTGCACGTTAATCGCTCGAGCGCGTCCCTCCTCGCGAAATTTTATCGGATGATTATCGGATTAAGATCATGCAGCTCTTAAATTATCTCAATATTCAAAAAAAAATCGACCGATACAGCATACGTGATATTGATACATATATCATAACGACACATTGTTCTCATCTTTCTCATCATGTCTTTTTCTTCCGTTAAAAACGCCATAGTCCTCTAAAATATTTTCCTATAAAATATTTTAAGAGAGGACAATTTTTTTGTTTAGATTATTTTGTGTTTCGCTTATTATGGTTCCTAAAATTTTTTTCTACGTTCTAGTCTCTACATTAAAAAAAAAGTTCTTATTATCTTCCTCTTAAATGTCATGTATTTTTAGCGATATATGAATGATGATATATTTGAGTAATGATTTAATCAATAGATTGAATCTAATCATGGCGACAAGTCGCTTATTCTTTCCTTTTTTTTGAGATTTTTATTTAAATGATGCATAGTACAGCTTTTTTTTTATATTTAGATTTTATATAATGGAATTCCATTACATGTTGCAGGCTATTTCTTTTTTTCTATATTCATGTAGCTATTTAATCACTTAATTTTTTTCTTAAATGTCTTTTGTTTGATCAAATATATGCCGCACTCGTTATCTTCGTTGAAATGTTGCCCCGCCCTGTGCGTGGCTGCGGATCTTAATTGTTCAAAGGGCTGGAGTTTGCGGAGCAAGTTGCTAGCTGGAAGATGCGGTGATGCAGACGAGAGAACGAAAAAGTCGCGATGTGTGATTGACGCCGAGCACGCATGCGTATCGTGTCAACGTAGCACGCATGCGATTGCATGAGTACGTGGAGGTGCGCGATTGTATGTGAGACATGTGCCGGCGGACGAAGCTTCTCTTCCTTTCTCGGCGATGACGGGAAGAAGAGGGAGGGAAAAAGATAGATAGCTAGGTAGAAAGGCAAATAGAGATACGAGCGCTCGAGGTGGATCGCGGAAACGCATTGCCTTTAGCGTCGATTTTCTTTACGCTCTTACGCGGCGGCCGTCGACCGCCCTACCCCTTACCTTGTTCCCCTGCCCCCTTTTGATCGAATCGATTAAAACCCCCCCTCGATAGGAATAACGTGTAATCGCGTTCCTCGTGTGTAGTCCTAAAAAGAAAGGGAGAAAAACGCGAAAACGACTGGTCTTCTCGGTAGATAGATCTTTTTCTAGGCTTAGCGCACGCGGCTCTCGTTTCTCAACGGAATCGGAAAGCAAGTACCGTATAGGGCCAACAGCGTTACTTCTCAAGCAACAACCTCCCCTTATCCTTCTTCCCCTCCCAACTTGTGTCCCCCCTCAATCTGTATCTTCTCCTCCGTCCCTTCATCGTGTATGCGTCCATAAACGCCTATGCGCGCGCGCGCGCGCACGCACACACACACACACACACACACACACACACGACACAACACGTGT